GCAAGCCAGAAGCGCGCTTATTCTCGAGCTACAAATGACCGCCTATTATTCCCCCGTAGCTGGATTTCCCCACGCACCGTCTCTTACGGCATGCATCTCTACGACTGGATTGCATGGATTGTTTCTGCGCTCCGGAAAACAGCGTCGGGGATGACGAAATGCTACGGGCATTAGCGATAGCATGCATGCGTGAGTGTGTATGTGTGTGAGAGAGAGGGAAAGGCTGCTCTGCAGAATTCGGACAGTGTCACGTTTGCCGTGCGATTCATAAAGGGAAAAGCAATGCTGCGAACGTTTTTCTGACATCCATCAACTAATATACCAAACATGACAAGAAACAGTTCTTTTGAACGGGACCATGCGAAGCGTGTAAAGTTAAGGTACGTACACTTGATACGACCATAGGCATGCGCAGGGATCCTCTTTAGGATGTGCGTGTTGGGGGGGGGGGGGGGAGCGTTGGTTCGTTGCAGTGCGCCCTTTCCCTATTCCTATAGTACAGGGAAGACTTTGTGGACCCTCTCTTCTCTTATGTGACCAAGGGGGGACCTCGTCCCTCCCACCTCCGTGAGCACGCCTATGGCTACGACTACAATAGCTACTCCCAGGGGGGTTCACGAGAGGTCTAATAAGCATCTTTATGTACACTAGTTTGAGAACTGTTGCGCAGTACCGTTAGCAAAGATGAGTAGCACAATAGACTCCGCGACCGAGAATCGCCCCTGAAAACCGGGTCGGGAAGGCACTAGACACGCACGCACATGGACGCGCGCAGTAATCAGCGCGAATGCGCCTCGAGAATCCTAATACGCGGAGGCCACTACTACGCAAACAAGCAAAGCGCAAACGAGCAGACCGCATCAAGAGTATGAGAATCCCGTCTGAGAACCCCGTCCAGGGCGCCGCATTCCTCGCGGACTGCCAACAACGTCGCACCCCGCTCCGACCACGTGGGTCACTGGGTTAGGCGTCGCGTCGCGACGTGCCACGACGACAACGGCGCGCCGTCGAGTACACGACGATTCGGTAGCGTCAACGGCTTCTCCGCGCTACAAGCTTCGCGTGCCCCGCGGGCACCGTAAGCACCCTTTGTCTCTTCGAGGTGGAGAAGAAGGGGCGAGCGACGACGCCAAAGGGCTATCAGGTGCCCCAGAAACGAGGCGAGGCGACTGCATCCGTGTGCGCATCTGGGCCCCCCCATCATGGCACGTCGAGGTATACCTGCACGTCGTCGCGTGACCCGCTTCTCGCGTGGAAAAGGACGCCCACGCTGATGCAGGCTGCCGCGTCGGTCGGGACAACGTGCGCAGGACGCCAACTTTTCGACCGCTCCGGTCAGCGCTAATGCGGAGAGCGCTTCGCCACACGCCCCTTTCCGAGACGTTCATATCGCACAGACTACGCTGACCGAAGTTCGGGGACAAACGGGGGTTTTGAACTAGTGAGAAGTCACGTGATGATCTAGTCGAGTTGGTATCGGTTCGTGATACAAAGCAGCGCAGGGAAATAGAACAAAGCGTGAAGGGGAAGAACTACGCGAAAGATATCACCTGCTGCTACTGGGAACGTATATACAGTCGAAGCTACTTATAACAATACCAGGTTATAACAATACCAATACCGGCCACAACAATGAGAATCTACTACACCGTCAACATTTGTGTGTTTTATTTGGTGAAATATCCCGCTTACAGTTATGCCCGTAGGCCGCATTATCGGTAATAAATTCTGGCTATTTGTTGTTCGGACCCAAAGGTAGTGAAACGTGAAACTTGCGAAACGAAAAAAAAAAATTCAAGCTGGTAAAACCCGCCTTCAACCACAACGTCCCCCGGGGCCACTTTGGAGTCGCATTATGCTTCATCGCATAGCGTACCTTACTTTTCAAATCCACAAGAGTGGTGGTGGCTTCTGTCGATATATACACTTTCGAACAAGCAATTCGAATAAAAAGTTAACACTTGGCAGAGTTTCAACGTACGGAACTTCAGGCATTGCCATGCATTCGCTCTACAGGGCCTGTGGCGGTCCCGTGAAAGTGTCTGAATTTTCAAGCACATCGAAAAAAAAATCAACAGCTTTGTCATTATTATTACTGATGTTTGCTGGCATATCCCACCCCGTATGACAGTTCTCTCGCAACAGCCTACCGTCCCCTGTTTTGCTTTTTTTTTTACTTCGATGAACCCGTTCATTGCAATTATCAGTTATGACAATGAAATATCCGTGGCAATTAGTATTGTTATAAGCGAGTTCGAGTGTAGCTGCATTTTTTTTCTGCATTCTGTTCCTTTGTTCAGCGTTTTGTTGCAAGGAGTCGTTGAAGAAGAATCGTCGTTAGAGCCAACCTTTAAAGGCCCGATAACCTTGTATTCGTCAAAACAGCTACCTATGACGAAGAAATGTCCCCTCGTCGAAAAGTTGGCGCCAGCGACATTCCTTATTCAGGTGACGTAAATTAAAGACAGAAGGTAGTGAGTGCTCAGGGGCGTGAATTTGATGCGTGTGTCACACCGCTGTCCTCAAATCAAGGCTCTCTGACAGGCTCGTGAAAATAATACACGCTGATCGATTCGACTTCTGAGACTTTTGCGGTCTATAGTACGGTGTCCAACTTGACCCAGCGCCACGCAGATGCGAAAGTCACGCGAAATGGGCTGTACATCGGGTTCACGATCGGACGTATACAGTCGATATATAGGCGACAGGCCCTGTGTCCGATCCGACAAAAGCCCGGCTGACGCTAGTGAACAGATAAAAATCCCCCGCAAAGTGGAAATACCACACAGGCTGCCTCGCGTAAGAAACGGCCACGATTTAATCGGCGGGGCGCGCCAAGCACGGAAATGTGGATCCATTACCTGGACGTCGCCTTGTTCCCACGCGCGGTTTCGAACTCGCTTGCCCGATTTCCCCTTCCACTGCGAATACCTTAATCTGTCAGCCCCCCCAAAAAAAAAACCCTTCTCACACGGAGAGCAGCTGAGCATCCTCACGCTCAAACAAAAGGGGGAAAAACTCCATGGCCACGCGATCGAGTCCACGTCTCCGATGGCGCGCCTCTCCCACAATGCTGGAACTCGGCCAACTCGTTTGCATCGTAAACACAACTGCCAGCGTATCGTAAATTTACTCTGGCTCATCTTGACCCTTCGCATGCCCGCATATACAACCCCCTAACATTGATAATACAACGAAGCGCCGTCGCAAGGTCACCCAGCTCTCACGCGTGCGATAGACGAAGAGTCGCTTTTCTTTTCTTTTCATAACACAACCGGCTAGACGAAACCGGAAACCGTCGCGGGCGCGTTCGTCTGACCACCGCGCTCGATGGGAGCAGTTTTTTTTTTTTTTTTGGCTGCCCGAGGTTATCGCGCATGAAAAAAGCCTCTCGCGTTCTTTTGAACTTGCGTCTGAAACGCGAAACGGCAACCCTCTCTCGGGTGAAATACGCGAGAATAAACGACATCCGATAGCAGCAAAGATACTCAGATCTATCTCCAACCACCAGAGATGACCCGTACTGTTACTGTTACAAGTGCGCGCGCACGATCAAATGCCCCCAAAAAACACACGTTTCCGAGGAAACTACACACGATCCTACAGTTTCTCCTCGTCCATTATGCCGGGTAGGTGGCCGCCAAGGGATAGTCCTATATCAGCACGGTCGCGGCGCTCTCTGTGTTTTACAACGGAACGGAAAAAGGCGGACCCGCGTGCGTTGAGATACAAGATCGCTGAACCAGCGATTCCGGAGTTATCTGACACCGTCGACGGACGCCTGCTGAGGCCTGTTTACCAGAGGAGCTACGCCAAAAGCTCCATGGCACCGCAAAAGGATTCACAGGTGCAAACGAAACTGGTGAGCGCGGATGAACGCCGTCGACCCCCTTCCTTAGTGAAAAGGCGAGTATGCCGCAATCTTCAACCGCGTGATTTTTCTAATTAATGCAACGGCTCACCTAAAGGGAATTTCAGAGATCGGGCACACGGCGAAATTGCGGAGTGAGAGCTAGAGATTATAACTGCAGTTATATTCTTTCGGCGAAATGCTGCACTTGACATCCATTTCGAGAAATACAGCCAAAAGAATCAGTCGTTTAATGCTATGGTTTCTTTTTCAAAGAATAATAGCCCCACTGCATTCATTTACCGCGCCGATATTGCTGTGCGAATTTTGCAGCAAACAACTTTAACCCCCGTTGTGTTGCCTCGGCGTATACATAGACGGTGGACTTTAACAGCGTTTGTAATCACGCGCCGTCGTGCTGGTGTAAATAGTGTAGGTTACCAAGTTGACGCGCCACCAAATAACGAAAATCAGCTCGGAATCCAAGTGTCAGAAGTACGAGTCAAAGTTCCAGTCTTACAAGGCATATGCCGTCAGCTTTCGGCAGAATTGTCTACTGCTACTACTTTTCTTTTCTTTGTTGTTAATAGATAGCTCCAGCCGACTGCTCAAGCACAAAAGTTCGAAGTAGCCCCGTCACAGACTTGTCTCGGGACCTGCACGGACACAAACGCTGTTGTCGGCTATCAATTGCACATGCTGAGTGCTTCTACTACTTACTACTTATACGCACAAACAGAAGAACACTACGGTCGCCGAGTCGACAACCGAAGCTTTGTACCGTCGCTCGTTCGTGCCGCGCCATTTTTTCCCGTCTCGCTTCTATTCAAGGCCCCGAAACAGACTTGCCCTCAAACGTGTGCCGCGTTCGTGCTCGCACCAAAGCCGCCGGAGAGACGAGCGAACTCGCATCACATTCGCGCAGCACCAGCAGGGGGCAAATCGCGGCGTCGCCGTCACGATGTAACCGGGCAAACGACGGCGAGGCGTTCCAATACCCCCTTAGCCACGCGGCACAAGCCTGTCTTGGAGAGAGAGCGAACGAGCCAGACAAGAACGCAATCACTTTCCAGGCGGGGTCGCAATCGTCTCTCGTACGCGGAACACGTTGGCAGCGCGCCCGCTGCAACCGCCACCATCTCCGCTACGGCAGCAGGCCGCGGAGATGTCCCCCGTCCAAGGGCGTAACCGAATATCGCGCCCATGCGCGACAGGCCATCAAGAGACTGTCGTTTGCCGCCATGCGAGCTCTTGCCGAGCTGCGCAAATCTCTTCCCCGAGCGCCTCTTTTCGAGCCAGATCAGTGGAGGAAACGGCGGCATCCGGAGGACCCAGCCATCTAGACCTGGGCTCCCAGCGGCGAGGTAATTTTCACTCGACAGCGCAAGTCCTCCAGAAGAACGTCCTGAGGAAGTTCGGGTGCTTCGGTGCCGCGGGACTAGCGAAGGGGACGAAAAGGGGGTAGGGGGGGCGAGGAGGGTGACAGGGCAGTTGGCGCTCACACACAGGAACCACGGCGGACGACTATGGTGTTCAGGGTGTCATTTGGACATCCTGCGCCGCACTGAACCCTCCTCGCAACCGACGATTAGAGACTACAGAAAATAAGCGGGGAAGAGACCATCGGATGAGCCAGGTCCACGTAGTACCGGGGGATTTCCCACTCGAATCTTTCTTCATAGGCGGTACAAGACAGTGAAACGCTACCGCGAAGTGGGGCATCTGGGACGGCACTATGAGCCATGCTCGTGCGTTCGAGTCGCTCGCGGGCGAGTCATTCGATCGGACACACTGCGGAGCTGTGCCACCAGAGAGCGAGATAACTTCATGACGGGTGCGGCCTCTAAATAGGAGTGGAAGCCACAATGAAAGGCTAGACTTTTAAATGTCACGAACAAGTGCGAAACTAGTGTCTCGAAGAGACACTCTTTTATGGCAGTGCTACGCCAGAATGTCATTCTACATGAAGCTTAATTTCCTTACTTAGCAATTTGCCAACTCTGCCGAGTCTTCTATAAAAGATTGTACTATCGTGCTTAGAATGCTTATACATGTTTTGACTATTTTGACAAGCAGACAACATTAGTCAAAGGAAAAGGTACAGCGATTTTGTGATAACATGTCGGCAATCCGCTGAATTACTGCTGATTGCTATGCAGTAAGCTCTTCATCTGAGCAAAAACGAATGGGTTAGTCTTTGCAGTTTTATTGCACCATTTCCATCTACTGCCAATGTAAGAAATTATGTGGTTTATGCCCTCAGAATGCCAGAGACTAAGGCACACAATCTGTGCTCTAGGAAAGTACAGAAGAAATAAAAGACCCAGTGAATTAGTCTGTGTGATCCTGCTATATAAAGCTGCTGTTGAGCTACATTTGATTAGTGTCTGTGCATCTCTGTGGTGCAGGTGGCCCCAGCATGCGTCATGGCTGGCATCGGAAGGGAGTTGTGCACGCCTCGCTCCCGGCACTGGCAGTCTGGCTGCTGCTGTTCCTACACCTGCCAAACAGTGCACATGGCCGCCACTGCCAGAACGTTCCAAAGGTGCCAGGATACATGTGCGATTGTGACTCGCGCTTCGGCCATGATGACCTTGGGGGCTGGCACCTGTCCTGCTACGGCACACAGGCCAACGAGCCGCAGCAGGCATTTGTCATCGAGTATGCCATCAACGACATCATTCGTGTGCAGTGTGATACCGCGGCCCCATACCAGACAGCGTTCTTCCAGAACTTCAGTGTGAGTGAGGTGGAGCGCTTCGCCTTTAGCTACTGCACCATGCCCAATGGCTCGTTCGCCCAAGTGCTCGAGGGGCTGGATGTGACGTCATTGCAACTGGTCAGCTGTGAAATAGGTGACACACTGGACGCACGGCTGTTCGAAGGCCTTGACAAGCTCAAAAGGCTCACTGTAACTGGGAGCAAGGACCTGAGGTTCATTCCAGAGGACACATTTACAAACCTCACCACACTAGTAAATCTTGAGCTCAACAACAACGCACTCGTAAGCCTTCCTGAGAAGGTCTTCTGGCCACTCAAGAACATTACTAGCATCCAGTTGGGCAGCAATATGCTGCAGAGTTTGCACTCTAGTCAGTTTAGGGGTCTCGACAAGCTCATCAGCATTTACCTCTACAAGAACAACCTCACCGAGCTGCCCCAAGGAATCTTCACCAACCTCACATCAGTGAAGAATCTCGACCTCCTGCTTAACCACCTGACCAACATCACAGACAGTGATCTTGCAGACCTAAGTGGCATAGAGAATCTCAAGCTGGGTGGGAATCCCTTCACGATGCTTCCCGACACCCTGTTCAGGAATAACAGGCTGTTGGGAGATCTAAATCTCAGTGTCCTCAACAAATTGGGATCTCCACCCGAGCGACTTCTCACGGGACTAAGCAGATTGGAGAATATCACACTGCTGGACTGCAATTTTACAAGCATTCCAGAGAAGTTTTTTGCATATGCAGGAAATATGAAAAACATTCGAATGGTCAACAACAGACTTACATCATTACCAGCAAACTTGTTCAAAGAGAATACAAAACTCCTCAACTTGGACCTGAGTTATAATGACCTCAATGAGCTGCCATTAACAGTGTTTGAAAAGCAGTTTGTCCTGGAAACTCTGATCTTTTACAGAAACAATTTCGTCGCACTGAAAGCAGGGCCTTTCGACAACTTGATTAGCCTGAAAGTGCTTAGTTTTGAATACAACTTTATAGAAAGCATTGAGCAAGAAACATTCCAAAGACTGCAAAAACTGGAGGACTTGAAGCTTGGAAGAAACAAGTTGAAGGTGCTAGAAGGAAATGCTCCTTTTGGTCTTAACAAGAAGCTCAAGCGAGTCGACCTTTCAAGAAACAACCTTATTCAGTTCCCAGACATCAACTGGGACATCTATTTGGCCTTGGAGAAGCTCAACCTTGACTACAACAATATAACTTACTTGAGGGTGCCAAACCTCATCTCAACCAGCACAGAAGTTTCTCTGCGGTTCAACGAAAATAAAGGCTGTGCAGGTCACGGAACTGGAAATCCTAAAAAAGTATGAAACAAAAGAAAAAACCTACAATACTGACACAGCATCAGAGCATTACTATCACTTGGACTGGAAATCCCTTCGAGTGCAACTGTCAACTCTATGACTTCATCAAGTACTTGTCAGACAATAACCAGAAGGACATTGCATTGTTCAAGAACTCTCCATCTTACACTTGCGAAAGTCCAAAAGTACTCAGAGGAAAAAATCTCTTGGATGTTGACCCTGAACAGCTTATATGTACAATCAAGGAGAACTGCCCAGATGAATGCACATGCTACTTTCGGCGGATGGACTACACAACACACATGGATTGTAGGCAGGGCAACCTCACAAGGCTTCCATTAGTTTCACCAGCAAACACAAATGTTCTGTACTTGCAAAACAACCAGATTTCAACCGTTGAGGACCTTAGCTCTCAACAGTGGGAAAACTTGACTCGAGTGCACCTAGATGGCAACACCTTGAAAGAATTTGACGCTAGTAGACTTCCACGCCGATTACAGTATCTCTCTCTCACTAACAACAGCTTGCGCTCCATGAAACCAGAACTTATGGCCATGTTTGCAAACAGTTCTGCCACTCTCAGCCTGTCACTGAGTGGCAACCCATGGATCTGTGACTGTTCTACATTCCCCTTCAAGGTTTGGCTACGTGGGCACGTCTATATGATAAAAGACTACCTGGACATAGCATGTGGTGAAAAGATAAGCCTCAACGACACCTTGGCACTGTCCTATATTAACGAGATACCAGACTCAGTTTTCTGCCCAACAGACTACAGCGTACAAAAGAAGCAGTTAGCAGCAGTATCAGTTATCTGCGTTTTGCTCGCTGTGCTTCTTGTAGTGGTGTTGATCCTCTATTACAGAAACCGCCAGACCATCATTGCCTATGTCTACATCCACTTTTACAATGTCTTTGTTTGTGTCTTCAGTGAAGAGGACCTGGATGAGGACAAAACATATGATGCCTTTGTATCATACAGCAGTGCTGATCGTGACATTGCCATGGCACTACTCAACAGCCTCGAAAGCAATGAAGAGAAGTTCAAGCTCTGTATTCATGAGAGGGACTGGCTGCCTGGTTACAACATCAGCTGGAACATCGTCAACTCTGTGCAAAACAGCCGCAGAACCATTCTTGTGGTATCCAAGGACTTTCTCGAAAGCCTCTGGTTTCAAGTGGAGTTCCATACAGCCTACTACCAGATGTTAGAAGATCGTGTTGACAGGCTTATCGTGATTGTCCGTGGTGAACTGCCGCCAAAGGAAACGATCGATAAGGAGCTTAAGTTCTTGCTCACCACAAAGACTTATCTCATCTGGGGTGAACGCTGGTTTTGGGAGAAGCTAAAGTATGCAATGCCACATCGAAAGCAGGTTCCACCGACGAACAAACTGGCCATGAGGAACCGTCCAAACACTGCAATGGTCAAGACTGTTGAGGACCAAATTGCAAACCTTACAGCTGGCCAAAAGCAAGAAAAAGCAAGAGAAAAAGTAGATGAGCCAGAGGAGCCTCCGGTTAGAATAGAAAACAATAACCAGGACCAGACAAGTGTAGTGGCACCTCCAAGAAAAACTCTGAGAGGTCTTGGAACTATTGAGCCTAAAGTCCAGCCTGTGTAAAAAGATGCTCATTTTGACACACACCAAAGTGAGAAAGGACATTGTGTAGAAACAAATGAGATAAGAAACTTTTATGCAACTTTCAGAGTGTTAACTCCCCCAACAGAAAAGTGAACTGTGTATAGGAACTGCAAAATGATGTGGTGCAGTTTGCTGCGGCCTAGGCAACCTCACTCACTGTCTGTGCATCCAGTGTGTGTGTATGTGTGTGTGTATGTGCATGTGCCGAGTGCCACAAAGTGCAAGTGAAAACTCATAATGGTGCTATTACAGTGCATGGTGTTCATCATGGGAAAGCAGAACACACAGACAGTGCCCCATGTCTTGTAAAGGACAGTATTACCAGCACATCACCAAGAAGCAAAGAACAGAATGTGCAATGGTACCTGCGAGCAAACATAGAGCAGTGTACAAAGTCAACTCAATAACCACCAGATGGTTGTAAACAAGTGCTGAATACTCAGACAATCTGTGTCCAAGGTCACTGTATTTGTAAAAAACCATAAGAGTAACATAAAAAAAATTTTGAGGGCTGTTTTGTTTGCACTGTCTTCAATATATCAACTATGAATGTGTCAAATTTTTTCAAAGCCAAGAACATAAACAATCGCTTTACTGTGGTGCACCGTTTACTGTGCTGCAATCAATGCTGAAAGATGCACTCATCAAACGCTTAAAAATTGCCATGTTACCAACAATGTCAATGAAAGACTTACAACACTATAAAAGATAAAGTGGGAGTATACATATAGAAGACTACATGACAAGCCTTCAAACCAGCAGTGCGCCTAGCAGCAATGACACAGAAACAGGGCCGTCCAAACCCAGGAATTTTTTCGGAGAGTGTTTACGCTCAGAACGGCTAACTTTAGCAACTGGTGGTCAACGCGAAGGCTTGTGAACTTGTAAATAATTTAGTATCACTGAAAAAGTTAAGGCATGAAAAAATTTCTGGGGGTGTCAGAACCCCCTCATCACCCTCTTAGCTACCAGCGCTGCACAGAAAAGCACCACACAACCAGCCACCTTTTAATTCAGGAAGTGAAGGCAAACAATGAAAGCAGGTGAATGTCTTGAAAAAGTTTCTTACATACTCAGAAAAAACAATGCCCTAGAATACTAGCAACCACTGCTTCTAAAACATACTTTATTTACATGACTGTATGTCAACCGATTTGAGTTAAACTTGGAAATGTGAAGCTAGGGTGTCTACTTGCCATCGAAGGTGAAACCCATACTGCCATTGACAGCAGTACAAATGAGCAGTCAGGGACGCTACTGCGAGATTACAACTTCATGAAGGATGCAGGTGCAAGTTATAGTCATAGAAACGAAAAAAGTCTAAAAGACGGAGGGCCAACTAACAGCTGGCCTTACTTTTGGAAGCACTCAGTGTACCATGTAGGCACAAGAGTATACATGCGCACAACCAGTCATTTCTCTGCACGTGCTGTAATACTGACAAAGACTGAAATCGTAACACAAACAAGAAAACGAGGAAAAAGCCAAAGTTTGATATTTGCATTGTGAAGCAATACCAAAGGAACATGTGAAAGGCTTCTAGCAATTCATGAACCAGCATGTCACGGAATGCGCAGCACAGTAACAGCGAAAGCTGGAAAAGTGGCCTTTCTGGAGTCTTTTATAAAAAATACTCTTGGAGAAACAACCACAGGTTCACTTGCATGGCAACTTTTATAACATAAGTCATCATCACACTTGTGAAGTATGGAAGTACTGACTATGCCATTACTCATTATTCTACATAGAAGCGAGGTATCCACAAAACATTTCCAAGGCATTATGTGCATTTCGTTGATGTCGTCCCCGGTGACGATGAAAAAATTATGGCTGAACTTCATGTAATGAACTAAAATCATTCAACAATCCAGTCGTTCTACAATTTGAATAATGTGATGCCTTGTGCTTATTGTAATCTTCCGAAATTCCTTATAGCACATACTAGTGTGATTGCTTCCCCGACATAAAGCCTGCATATGGTCCGTTCGTGAAGCAGTTGCAAGCACCAGCGTGGCTCTGTGATAAAAAAAACTGGGCTGCCACACAGAGTGCCCAGGTCTGAGTCCTGTACATTGTATCCTGTACATCTTTTATACACTTCATTTTTTTCTTGTTTCGCACAAGAGCACTTACGAACACCAGCGGCAGCAAACAACTATGGCACCATGAATGCATGTTCGAATCGTGTAACAGCTTTTGCTGTAAAAACATCAAGAGAACAACACTCTTTCTCACTGTCCACTATACACGACTTCGCTCAGTGCTTCACAACTGCTTCGCACGAGAGCCATGCAGAGTTCACTTCTATGTTCGCTCTCTGGGCTCTACAAACCAGCTTCTAGGATCATGAACCCTCTTGTCAGCTGGCTGATCCACACTACCAGCATATGATTGGCTACCTCCCTAAAACTTCCCATCCAACACAAGTCTCTGTCGCCAACTCTCGCAATTTAAGCAGGAAAATCACATGCTTTACTGCTGCATTTACCATCCTAGCGGTCAGCACTAGGTACGCGTTCTGCCTTGCTCTCACGTCCTTCACATTGATCCAACTGCAAGTAATCTTAATTTTCACAACTACTACTGTCTCCAAAATTATTTTTATTGATCTGGCATTACTACTAGCATAGCCAGATACATCATGTCCTGCACTATCTGCCAGAATCAAAAACTCCCGACATATTGCTGCCACACAGAAAACATTTAAAGGGGAGTTTAATGAGAGTGGAGGCACGAAAGACTGTGGAAATGACAGAGGCAGCATCATTGTTCTCTTCTTCTCCAACTCCTCTCGGTTGTTCACTTCCGGGTACACTTATTCATAACATTCCTCCTCTCAGACGAAGTCCTCTAGGTGAGTCATTTCTGCATCCTTCGTGCGAACAGCTTCAAGAGGGCAACATGCGTCACCTCAGTCTTGTGTGAACGGTGGTCACTTGAAGTGAAATGCACTATCTCATAGTTGATATCGATTAGATAATCGAGAATGACAAAAGACACAGGGTAGTCTGCGAGAAGCTTTTGGCTTAAGCCACGTTGGCGTACGAGAGTCCACAGCCATACAAAATCACCGGGAACATAGGTCACGTGTCAGCATTGACTGTCGTAACATGCTTTAGAGTAGTCTTGCGCGGCCAATGTATGTAAGCGTGTAAATTGACGAGCTCCCTCTGCATGACACAACATCTCGGTAATAGACAAATCGTCTAGGCTATCGCAAAGAGAGATAGTATCTAGCGTGTGACACGGTGAGCGAACGTAAAGGGAGAAGAAAGGGCTATAACCTGTCGTTTCGTGTTTCACAGAGTTGCAAGCGTATGTCACGAATGGTAACACTTTGCCCAAGACTCTTGTGGTGCGAAGCGACGTACATCGACAACATGTTGATCAATGTTCGGTTTGTGCGCTCGGTCAGTCCATCAGTCTGTGGGTGATAGGCTGTGAAGTGCCTGAATTCTGAGGCACACGAGCAAAGTAATTCTTCCACAACATCGACAGTAAACTGACGACCACGGCCACTTATCATCACTCGAGGAGGCCCGTGCCAAAGAACGATGGAGTGGAGTGTAAACTTGGAAACCTGGGCTGCCGTGGTGGAGGATAAGGTCGCCGTTTCGCAATACGCGGTCATGTAGTCAGCACATACTATTATCCACTTGTTGCCTCTAGACAAACGCGGGAACGAGCCGATCTGGTCTAGGCCGACCTTTTCAAAAGGAGTGCTAGGTGGCGTTATTGGCACCAGGTAACCGACCGAAGCTGACTTAGGTCACTTGTGACTCTAACATTTTGTACAACTAGCTCCAAAGGTCTCGACTGTTTTGCCTATTTGGGGCCAGTATAATCAGTCTTTAGTGCTATTTGGTGTTCGCACAGTCCATAAATGATCAGACGTCGAATCATCGTGCATAATACGCAGAACCGACGTGTATAGAGAATCTGGCTCTTATCAGCAAACTAAAGCCACTTCCATGTCCTGTAACATCATCTAAAGTTGTTGCTGTCAATATTTATGGCCCCCTTCTAGTCACTGCCACTGGCGACCGATGGATTGTGACAGACGTCTGCCCTTAGATGAACTATGCTGAGAAAGCTTCTGTGACTACCGGTTCTGCATTTAAAGATTCAGATTTTGTTCTGAAGGACTACTGTACCATGGCACTTGTACGGTATGTTCTGGTCAGTGACCATGGAAAGGCATTCCTTTCACAAATGGTTAACAAAGTTCTCCAATCCTCCAGCTACACCCACAAGACCACTTTTAATTAGCATCACCAAACTAATGGCTTGAGCTATTTCATTACACACTTGCCAACATGATCGCCACCTATATTTAACCAGACCACAAAAACTGGGACACCCTTTTACCATTTGACCTTGTTAACGATCGTTCCCCCGATTTCTTTCTGGGCCATTTCTTTATTTACTTCCAATGTAAACCAACCTCCATCTTTTTTTAAGCAAGACATTTCACGACTTGCTAGTGTCACCAGTGTGCTAGCACAAATACACAAGCCAGACAGTAAGACAGGAAGATTGTTTATCATGCATTGCCTCATGCTGTATCCTTCTGACCTAGTGACGAAATGCTGCTGTTGACATATGCTCGCACACCAGGATTGTGTGACAAGTTTCAGTCATGGCTCATATTGAGATACACAGTTCTGGAGCACACTTTGCCAGTGAAATATCACGCAGCACCGTTTTTAGCCCCTGCCAACCGCCGTTGCCATACTACTGAAGGTGTCCACGTCTACCTCATTAGCCCTACATGTGACGTTCGTCTTGAGCTGTAGAGGCCAGGGCAGCCTGTTTCTATACTTCTTGCAGGAGTAAATCTTTTACAATCACTTGTTTAATTTGATATTTCGTTAAGAAGATGTTCAAGTTGATTTCTTCATGTGTGCCTCTATTTTTATGAGGTAATGCTATGAATACCCGTAACAACTCTATCAATACCTTCCCTGGTTTCTTTTCTTTAATACTATACCAAATGCTTTTACCCGAACCACTTGACTAGAATAGCGCACACATAAACAGGCACCAAGTAAACAACACAGCACAAGCACTTGTGTCACGTTTCTTACTCTGGCCTTGTCTAATTGTGCACTATTCCACTACCATTATGTCACCCCAAGCCTAAACTACTCTTCTAGACTTATTACCCTAACCATCTCGCAATGACTGGAACAGTAAATCACAAGGAGGGAGCGGAATACAAAGTGATACACCAACGCTCAGTGGCAGGCTGTAATGCATAAAGGCAACACTAGCTGGTGGTGCACAAAGATCACTTTTAGTTGCAGCTCTTGATTAACCAAAGTAAGGTCACAGCTTGCACAATGAACATTATCTTCATTTGCGATTGCATAAATAAAATTGGCCCGAAAGGGAGACCACAAAAGAAGACAAACGTAAATATCGAGCACAACTGTGGCTGAGTGGGTACAGAGTGAAGCTTCTGAGCATAATTTACCATGTTCGAATACTACCACTAAACACTCTTCTTTTCCAAGTGAGGAAATGTTTAGATGACAGAGACCAACTGGCCGAATCATTATAAAAATTAAAAACAATATAAAAGGTACAAAACGTTAATACCAACATTTTGGTAAACTAGAAATCAAGCTAAATGTAGGCATGTGTGCATATTTGAAAGCTTCGAGTACTCGAACGTATATAACAGTAATCAAATTCACTTCAATTTCAATTTAAATTATTAGAAATTTTATAGTATTCATTATGAACCAATAGATTTACATTATTATGCATGTAAGCCATTGTAAAGATGGTTCCTCTGCAGTGGAACCACCTTCTTTTTTTCAAAGACTTGAAAACCCTGCTCTGGGCAACCCCCTCGCATGTGTTTCAGGAGCTTTGTTATCGCATAGTGATGCATTACATTTACTCCCTCACAAAACTCACTCGCACTGTGAGCATAGGCATGCGTGCTGAGGGAGCTTAGGGTGGCCACTCCCCTTGATATGTCGGAGGAGACCACCAAGTCTTACGGCCAAACAACGAAACGTTCCTTTCCTCAGTGAGGAAGCCTTCATTTTTGTGAGGCCGCCTTATGTCACTCTGAAAGCTTCCTCACTAAGGAGCCCTCGGTGAAGGCTTCCTTGGCGCTTCCTCAGCTTAAGGTTGCTTTGGGGCTACCTTCGTGCGCCCTTAGGTCCGCTCCTTGCCCTGAACGAGCGCTTCGCCTCACAGCTAGCCCACGTGATATTTTCGTTTTCGAGGCAACCCTCCCACCCACCCCCTGCGGGGAAACAGGAGCGGCGAGCGTGCGTGCACGGTGCCAGGCACGACGGCGCGCAGTGTTGCTAGAATGCACCACGTTTTGCGCTCGACTACGGTGGCTTTTCACATTCAGTAATCGTAGTTGGAAGAAAGCGTACACGCGTCTCTATATTAACACTTCAATTTGGAAGTGATGTGGTGACCCAACTTTTTTTTACAGAATAAACGCTTGTGAGCAAAGCTTATATTCGATAATCTCGAACGCAGGAGCGCGGCAACCATTCCTCCCGCAAGGACGGGTTAAGGGAGCTTTCAGAGTACGCTTGCTTCCTCCGTCGGTACTTGGTTGTAAGAAAGCCTCACGTAAGGAGAGGACGCGGTCAAAGGAAAGGAACGTTTCGTTGTTTGGGCCTTACCCATACTCACCCCCTACCTCTACACATCTGTAGATGTACCACCACTGTCTAAAGGCCAACTTCGGTGATTTTTCGAGGTCAATGAATCTCAATGAATTTCGTTGAATACGTTCCTTTGCACATTTCCATCATTCATGCCAAATTACAGGCTTGAGAGATGCGATAATTGTTTGCAAACGAATTTCAAAGATTGCCTCGAAAAGCTCAGCTCACTTGTCATCATTATTGGCAACAGTGTCTGTGCAATGACATGTCTGGCATGTCAATGGAAGTGACGCAGCCGATGGCGTCGTTACTTTGGCCGCTACAGCGTTTATTGTGCTAGCCAGAAGGCGACGGCGACGGTGTTTGGCACGGGAATTCTTCCTTCCTCCCTCTGTGTTGCTAGACCAACACTTCCATGGCCTGGCTTCCAAAGTTTCCATGCTCCGTGCCGGCGGGACCAGTATGCAACTTCCGGTTCTTACCAAATTGTACTTCATATGTAGACAGTGGGCTTGGTTGGGTTGCAGCTTCAGTATTGCGCCTTTTTGCTTATTAAAAATTATTGTCGAACTTCCTGAGCATTTCAGCTATTGGGTTTGTGACAAAGTGTCTCAGAAACAAAGAAACACCTTTACAGTGACATGGTCAAGCAATCGCCAAAGTTTGCCTTTAAAGTGCAGAGGCATGGCCACCTAGGTTTTTGTTACTAACTGTGACCGAGGACGCCTGGTGCCATTATTCTGCATTCCAAGAACAGCTTACTTCCCTCCCTCCCTTACCCCTAGAAATACAGGCATAAAAAGCAGGCTGTTATCAAAAGCATCTGATTGCTTTATCTTCACTTTTGCACCGATTGCCATGCTTAACTATTCTCTTTGAGACGCCATCAAATGTGAACGTACAAGGGGGTAAAATGAAACTTGGCTTGTTTATGGGGAACCCTATGTATGCCTTCAACTGTGAGTGAGAAAAAAATTCTGCTTTCGCTCTGTTTTGGCTTAGTTTCTGGCGATATTGCATTTTGTGCGGGAGACCATGGCAGTGCCTGTCAAGCAGTCAAAGTGGATGGTGGCATACAAAACATCACAGCTCGATAGAGGGCAGGAGACTTGAAATGTGCAAGTTGTAGGCGCACCTCTAAAACACAATTTTCTTTAACACTACCTATGCATTTTCTTAGCACCAAAAAGATGCCACAAGTTCTCTTGTATGGCACTTAATTAGTGCATGTCAGCTTAATTATCTTGAGTGTACATTTAAACAAATGTTACATGAAGGTAATGATGCCTATATTTTCTATTAATAAGCAAATAAAATAATGAACAAGCACTATGATTATTATGAGAATATGATTATTCACAACATCTATATGTAACAGATTAATTTCATTAAAGCTACAAAATATCTGACCTTAACCACTACCAATTACCTAAATATATTTTATGCACAAAAGCTAAAAAGCTTCTGTGCATAATTTAGAGGGTGGCCCTTGCCTAGAAGGAGCAAAGGAATTTTTTTTAAGCACTTATTCAAAATACTGCAGCAGGAGGGTGTGCTAACACATTGTGGGCCTAAAGAGAAACAATGACTTGGTTTAGATTTACAAATTGTTCTTTTGAGAACTTGAGTGCCATATGTTTCACTATCATAAGATCATTATTATTTGAGAAAATCAAAGTTGAAGTTTCAGTTGTAAATTCTGTATAAAAACCTCCGCGCATGATGTCGAAAATTTCAACATGTACTGTATTTACTCGCGTAATGAATGCACTTTCTTTCTAAAAAAGTCTGAGCAAAGCTGAGGGGTGCATTTATTTCACGGGATAAATTTTATGAAAACTTTTTTTGGGAGGGGCACAAAATGTGGTAATGAAAAAAAAGTTAGGTCGCTCAGCCTATCGCAATGGACATACGCGTACACTGTTTGGAAATAGCTTCTTTGTTGCACTTCACTCATTTGCAATTGCTGATGGCACTATCTTTTGCAAGCTGTCCCTGCGCCGCCCGCGCATGCCATAAACGTGTTTTGCGGCTATCTATTCGCACAATCGTTTAATCGCAACAGTGGTATTTTCTGTGATCTCGAGGGGCGGCCAAAAGCGTGCACTACAATGTTATGACGCACTTTGCCAACTTCGCGACAACCTCGCACGACGACCGTGAGGACAGCATTAACATTGTAGCAAGTAACCAACATTGCAGCTACCTCCGAAGCATCAAAACAGTCCGTCGATAACAAGATTAACGACAAATTACTGCCGCCGCCTCGCTTCTACATGAGAAGTGCCTCTACGCACGGATAACAAGCAAAGCGAGAATTAGGGATGCTACCGTGTTGCGAAAATCATCACGACCTTTTCGGGACGACAAGCTATTTTTTTCTGGTTTTCCAGAAACCTGCAACACGATAGCGACGAATGACTCTCCGTGACAGCAAATCCTGTCATCGCCGCTCGAAAATCGCATGCTCGTGGTTGGGCTTTTCGAAACTGCCAGCGTCGGTTGGCAAGGGCAGTTTCGTGACCTTCGCGCGCTGTGTGCTTATCAGCTGCGATGTCTTAACACTCGCACCGTTCGTGAACTCTGCTGTGACGCACAGATAAGACGGGGGACGTTACGCTTGCAGATAGAAAGAAAAACAATACGGCATGCGCCAACGGGCGAAAGGGAGGAGGGAGGGAGCGAACCGAGGTGGGTTGGCAAAATAATAATATACGGAAGAGATCCAACAGGTGAGAAGGTGCCAGGTGTCGGTTAGGGGGACTGCAGCGGATAAATGTAAGGGGTGCATTTATTGTGTGGGGCAAAAAAAATCCGAATTTTGATTAATGAAGTTGGGGTTGCGTTTATCAGGCGAGTGCATTCATTACGCGAGCAAGTTTGGTATTCTGCGCATTTCTGCGACATTGGCTCGATGAAATTTTCTGAAATTTCGTATGCCTTGTCTCTGGCACCAACAAATGACAATGTACTTCATTTTTAGTGATTATAGGCTATGTAGAAGCCAGTAGCTGCTTTAGTGATTATAGGCTATGTAGAAGCCAGTAGCTGCTTTCAAAATCTATGAAGCCACAGTGTTTGAAGCTAAAATCTCAAGTTGACGTCTCCACCTGCATTTCTTGCTTACCAAGCAACGTGCTGCGCTAGGAGTGGTGTTTTCGGTATTGTGAAATTGTACTTTACTCAAATGTGAAATATCATTCCTGTCTTTAGTGTCCCTTTAAGGCACAGCAAAAGTTGCTCTCATTTGCCGAACGGATACCATGATTAATGTCTGTCTAGGAAGTACACCGGCCAGAAATGTCAGGCTAAGACAAGCCTTGCTTACCTTGCCGTCTTCCCAGTACTTGGCTAACACTTTCTGTCCAGAGAAAAGCCGCTTCGGGCCAGATGGCTTTGAGTCAAAAGAGCTCCGGTCACCCCCGCGAGGTGCAGGTCTAGAGCCAGGTGCCAAGTCACAAGCCTGAGTGGTGCGACGTCTGTCCCCGCCCTCAACTGGGGACGGCCTTGGGTGACTCCGGTTGCTGTGGTTCCCTTGATAAGTTCGTGACTGTTGAGGAGGCCCACCGCCTTCTTGAGAGCCCTGTACAATGCACATGTTCTGAGGTTTTTTTCTTTTACTTACAGCCAAGGCATCACGTACAACTCTGTATTACTAGTGTTGAAGTCTAGTGTGGGCTAGGTCAACAAGCAAGGAGACATACTACGACACAATTCACAAAAATGGAAGTTAACACATTAGCACTAGTGAAAAAAGTTGCTACAGCACGTGGGGCCTCTATATGGTGAGCGCCATGCTCTTGGAGTGAACGGGGAATGGACACAGTAGACGCAGTCGGAATAAACCAAACAACACACATTTATTTAACTACATTTTGATCGACGATATCGTCAGCCAAATTATTATACATCAATAATCATCAACAAGCTAAGACATCCTTAAACAATATTAAACAACACTCAACAACATGACAAACAAGGCAGTGTCGCTAACGCTCGACTCAACACGTGGGCCTACCGCAGATGGCCCGCGGTGCCGTCCACGGCAGACCCACCGCTGGAGAAAACCGTCCTCGCTACTGCCCCACGCCAAACGACCAGCTTATTTTTTGCACGTCGTTACCAAGGCGTGCCGCCAGGCATTGCCGCCGGCACTAACGTTTTCTAAGCATGATGATCATAGTGGTGATCAATGCTCGCAAACATGACGCCACCTACTGCGCGATAGTTGTGACCCCTGAATGCGGCTTCTGTGCGAGACACATGCGCCCCGAGGCACAAACAACTTCACAAGGGGTGTCGCACCACCACATCACAAGCATTAGAGCTTATTCATTAAGGAACTCTATCCAGAGCAGTTCCTGACATCTGCGAAGCTTGTGCTGGTGGTCCTGAATTATTATAACATAAATCATCAAAATTATTATATCTCAAAAAAACAAGAAGGTATCGAACACAAGACATTAGGCGGGTTAGCACGAATGATTCTGTCACATCAGTTAGACCTTGAAGGGATACTCAAGGCAAATAACAATTTACGTCAGAGTGAAAGCTCAATGTATGAACACAAAAAAGGCAATATTAAAAACAGTGCCTTACCAAGAAATTGGGCTAAATGTATCACACGACATGCGCCATGAGTGGGACATTTGAGAAATTATCCCGATCACGTGAGAGTATACGCATACAAGTAATTGTTATTAATCAAATTAGCTGGAACAAAAAAGAACTTTCCGTGCATCAAGAGGTGTAATAAAACTCTGCCTATCCATTTCTGTTTGATTTATAGTAAAAAAGAACTGCCTGGCGTTACTATGGGGAACGGCCCGAGTGGTTCAAATGTTTCGTTTCTGGCTGGCCAGGCTGGATAGGTGGTGCCACAAAGTGGGACCCAGTTGAACCAAGCAAGGAGAATCATAGCCTCCACGATTGCAAAAAATTGTTCAACAGCTGTTGTTGCGACTGTGGCTCCTGCTGCTTTCACTCTGCTGCAACTGGTGTCAGCAGCTGCATAGTAAAGGCAACATTGGGCACCGCAACTGTGACGTCTGAAAAACCACTCTCATATGCGGGTGATTTAAAGTCCACTAAAGCGATGCGGACCATAAAAACATAATTTCATTTTAGAATGAGCACTTCCTTGGCACAAAACTGGCACTACGAGGCTTCTGAACCACTATTTCCACCATCACCATCAACTTAATATGTATTTGCCTTTAGTGTCTATTGAAGGTGTACAAACAGTAACACATAATTTCAAGTTTTCTCTATATTTAGAGAAACTTGAAACATATTGAAAAAAGTCACATATTACTCCTAGCAATTTTAACCTAGCTTGAGTCACAAAATTATGGGCACTTTAAGCTGACACATTTAGCTTCAGCTTAAAGTATAACCCTCCAAATCAGGGGTCTCAAATTCATCTTAACTAGTGGGCCGCAGTCACAAAATTTAGTACCGCAAGGGCCAGGACAATGAAGAAGGACACGGCATGTGAGTGTGTGGGTGTGTGTGTGTGTGTGTGTGAGGGGGGGGGGGGGGGGGGCTGCTGATCAAAACATGAGCTAATATAGCTATTTGTCAGGCCTTTCTTGCATTTCATGAATGAACAATTCCTGAAGGAGATTTGGCATGTGGCTTTGAGAACCTTATCAATACAAGGCATTCTTCTCTTCTCCAACTGGAAGAGAGGAAAAACGCGGAATTTCGAAATGGGGGGCCTTGAGCAAGATCGCCTTCAGGCCAAGAACCTTCGAAGTGAAACCCGTCAGTCAGCCTTGCTCAGCAAGTCCCTTTCTGGTACCAGCAGCTATTAGCAGGATGGAAGCTCATGAATGTACTTATGGAGAAAGAAAAAATATGAAGAACAGAGGCATTCAGATGCGTGCCGGAGTGCCAGCAAAACTAGAGGAGGCTCTCACTCAAACAGAGGAATACTTAGAGTGAAAGCAGGGGTCTCTTAACGCGTGGCCCCATGTTTAATACACCTGCTCCAAGTTATCTGTTTCACTTGGAACGTGCCTTCTTTCCCAAATCTGCCATACAAAGCTGGAGGAGACTTGATCCTCAACATATTGATCAGGCAGCCATCTTATTGCTGCCTGTTGTTCACCCACAGAACAGTGGGTGTGCATCTCAGATCCACCACGGACAACTGTCGTGACTTGATGGTCAAATAAAATTGGCAAGAGGTGCTAGTGTACCTCACCACAAATCGCACAGCTAAACATGTCTTTGCCATATTCATGTAAAAGGGCATTGTGTAGCACCTTCAATAAAAATACCAAACAGATGGCCCTTGCTATTGTTACCGGCTGCCCAAAACACATTAGCTAGTGTATCTCTCTATCTCTCTCTCTCTCTCTCTCTCTCTCTCTCTCTCTCTCTCTCTATATATATATATATATATATATATATATATATATATATATATATATATATATATATATAGAGAGAGAGAGAGAGAGAGAGAGAGAGAGAGAGATAGAATTGTTACGTACAATCCAAATGGTGTACGAATAACTGTTTATTGGGGCGAACTTGTGCCGGAAAAGTAAAGAAAAATGTAGCGGCGTCTCTAACAGGCGATCAGCAAAAAGGGATCAATCTCCGAGAGACCCTCGAGCGGTGCACCACTTCTTTTTCATCAAAATCCCGTGCTGAGGAGGCGCGCGCCGTCACGGCCTTTTCTTGTTTGATCATCAAGCCGCTTATCTCTTGGGGGGCGCACGAACTAGCGCGCGTAGTTTGAATACTGCATTTGCCTTGCGTCATTATCCCTCCTCTAAAAACGCATCGACCCGATGCGTAAAAGCAGTGTTGCTGAGATGGTCTGAATGCGTGGTTTCCATTGGAGAAATAGGTATTCCTCATAATCGGGTGTGTATAGTTCGATGTTCATTGCCTGTCATAGTATGGCTTCATTCTGACTACATGCACGATTTCTGTGCTCCTTCGGCATCTTGATGAGCTCACTTGTCCTTCCGGTGACACCTCGTAGTTCAAGGAGCTGACGCGACGAAGGACTCGGTAAGGGCCGAAATAGCGGCGCATGAGCTTTTCGGAAAGGCCAGGCGTCCGCACGGGAGTCCAAATCCAAACTAAGTTGCCTGGTGCGTAGTCGACTCCTCTCCGACGAAGGTTGTAACGGTTTGCATCCACGCGTTGTTGTTGTTTTATGTGATGTCGCGCCAACTGCCGTGCTTCTTCGGCTTGCTGAATGAATTCGCTGATGTCAGGCTTGTGCTCTGTATTGTCGCCTACAGGCAGCATTGCATCTAATGGTGTGGTAACTACTCGACCACAGACTAGCTGGAATGGCGTCACTTTAGTAGTCTCCTGCACAGCAGTATTGTAAGCGAAAGTGGCGTACGGCAGTATCTTGTCCCATGTACGGCGCTCCAAGTCAACGTAAATGGACAACATATCGGTTAGAGTTCTGTTGAGTCGCTCTGTTAGCCTATTCTGTGGACAAGCAGCGTTTACGGGAAAACCCCGAAGTCCAGCTCGGCGATATTCACACATTCTATAAAGATGGCCAGCTTCGCCGCAGTGATAACAAAGCAGAATTCGATCAGGAGTGCGCCATATATCAGCTTTTCGGATCCTAGTCTCGGCTGGGGACGGCGTAAATCGAGGTTTCGGAAGATGCGTGCTTGCTGCGGCGAAATAAGGTCCAGGGGCGACGAAATGAGGTACAGGGGCGCTTTTCAGTACCTCGGCGTATGAGACTGCGGGCTGCATCGGAACCGACGCTTGAACAGGCTGGGCTTGTGGCTGCTGCTCACGAACTGCCTGTCTCACCTCCTCCCGAACAACTTCCGCTAATGACGAGACCGTTGAGGGGTTGCCGTTTAGCTTCTGGAGCTCTTCTCGAACCACCGATCGAATGAGCTCTCGTAATACCTCGATGCCATTCCCGAAGACTGCTGACACCGCGTCTACGGATGCGACGTTAACATCTCGATTGTAGTGCCTCGCTCGTTGTTGCAGAGTCTTTTCCACCGCTGTCGCCTCGGTGCGAAATTCAGTGACGTTCCGCGGGAAACATCGGAGCAAACCAGCAAAAATCTCCTGCTTCACCCCACGCATCAGGTGCCGAATCTTCTTGTCCTCGCTCATATTTTGATCAGACCGGCGGAATAACTGGCACATGTCTTCCACATACATTGCGACGCTTTCATTGTTGCGCTGGTTTCTTGCTTGCAAGGCAGCTTCAGCTATTTCCTTGCGGTCTGTACTCGGGTATGTGGCCAGTAGCTCCCGTCGGAAATCATCCCACGATCGAATGGTACCTTCATGGTTTTCAAACCACGTTCGTGCGCTGTCCTGCAATGCGAAATGAACTCGGCGGAGCTTCCGTTCTTTGGGCCATCCGTTGCAGTTGGCGACGCGCTGAAAACCCTCCAGCCAATCCTCGGCATCTTCATGAGGATCGCCATGAAAAGGGTCCGGCGTCCGTGGCTCATCGACAACGACGTGCGTGGCAGCGACTGGAGACGAAACGGCATGTGCGGCAGCGGTTGGAGACGACATTTCGGTACTCTCATTGGAGACAGCTGGAGACACTCTGGGCTCTGGTGG